GCCATTCAGACGCCCATCCTGCAGTTCTACGAGCCGCTGCTGCAGGACAGAGTCCACTGGCTCACCACCACTCGCACGTGAGTGAGCAGGGCTCTTGAAGGCATGGGCGGGTTTATGGTCTTCTTATCACACGCACACACACTCGCCTCCTTGTTCTTTCCCTGTCTCCTTCCCTCTCATCATCTGTCCCGTCGTCACTTCCCTCGACCCTTCCTCCGCTCCTCATTCCTCCCTCCTCCCCTCCTCCCCCCTCCCCCTATCTCCCCTCAGCTTCCCGGACCTGCCAGAGAAAGTGCGGTGGGTGCAGGAGAACGACGAGGAGGTGCAGCGGCGGGTGCAGGCGGCTCAGGGCCCCGGGGGGGCTGGTACGAACAGCTCACTGTCTGTACTCCCATACTCCCCTTCTCCCATTCCCCCCAGATTCTCCGACCTGACTGAAAAGGTGCGGTGGGCGCAGGAGAACGACGAGGAGGTGCAGCGGCTGGTGCAGGCGGCAAACCAGTTTGCAACGTACGCATGTACGTGGACCGGCCGCACGCTCTACTGGGGGCTCATGCTCGTCAAGTATTATGACACGCTGCACAACCCAGATGCTATTACAGAACCACCTGTGAAGCAGATCTGCGATAAGAGGTGAGTGTTTGGCACTCCCTGCTGCTCATCACTCTCTGCTGCACTGCACTCTCTGCTGCACCGCACTCTCTGCTGCACCGCACTCTCTGCTGCACCGCACGCTCTGCTGGGGGCTCATGCTCGCCAAGTACTACGACACACTCCAGAACCCCGATGCTATTACAGAGCCACCCGTGAACCAGATCTGCGATAAGAGGTGAGTGTTGGGGACCCTCTGTGCTGCTCCGCACGCTCTATTGGGGGTTGCTGCTCGCCCCAAGTACCACCACAACCACGCTCCAGAACCCCAATGCCATCTCCAACTTGGTAAGAAGAGCCGCGACAAAAGGCTCAAACCCTAAGCGAAACTCATTGGCACTTCTCATTCTATCCCTTTTCTTCTCTTCTCGTCTCTTCTCTTCCCTTCGCCCCCTCCGCCCAGCCCCATGTTAAAGGCACCACCAAACACAACGGCGGATCCAGCATCAGTGAAGTGTGCAGACCCAGATGGCCCCAAGCATTTACCGTGTAGCATGACGCAAAATACATTTGTACCTGTCCCTTTCCCTCCCTCCCTCCTCCCAACCCCATGTTGCAGGCACCACCAAACACAACGGCAGATCCAGCATCAGTGAAGTGTGCAGTCCCAACAAGTAGAGCCCCTGACACAAAGGCTCAAGCCAGCAAACGCACTTGCATCTCTCATTCCATCCCTTCCCTTCCACTCCATTCCTTTGCCCCTCCGCCCAGCCCCATGTTAAAGGCACCACCAAACACAACGGCGGATCCAGCATCAGTGAAGTGTGCAGACCCAGATGCACTCAAGAAGAACCCCGAGTGCATTTTCTTCTGCTCCTCCGGCACCATCAACCACTTCATCTGGCACAAAGCCGAGGCCCTGGCAGACCTCGAGAAAGTGGGGCCTCCTTGATTGTAGGGAGAGTAGGAGAGGGAGGAGAGGGTACATACAATTCCAGAGGGCACCAAGAAGAACCCCGAGTGCATCTTCTGCTCCTCCGGCACCATCAACCACTTCATCTGGCACAAAGCCGAGGCCCTGGCAGACCTCAAGAAAGTGGGGCCTTCTTCATTTGATACGTACGGTAGTCCGAGTCCGAGGGGGCTAGAAGAACCCTGAGTGAATCTACTTGCATGTCCACAGGCGCCACCAAGTCAAGATGCTTTACTGCTAGAAGCAAATGCTCTCAGTCCCCTGAGAACGTAAGGTAGGCCCTCCCTGATGCAAAGATAGCAAGAGGGAGAGAACATGCAGGATCCCAGAGGGCCCCAAGAAGGAACACTGAATTCATATACCGGTAATATGCATCTACAGTAGCCCCAGGCATTATAGACATAATCATAGAAGAATGTTACTGCAGTTGTATTCTGTAGTCCGATGTAGGAAGGAAGGCCTTGCATTCCTAGGAAGGTGGAGTGCCTTGTCTATGTCATCAGATAGGAAGGTGAAGGAAGGATAGATCCCACCCCTCTACAAACACTTTCCACGCTCTCGCCTTTTATACAGGTACTATGAAGTATTAAAGCTCGCGGCCCAAATTGTTGGGCGCGCTGGCCAAGCTTACTAAGGTTGACGGGGGTGATGTTTTGAGTGCTGTTTGGGTTGCGAAGGGTGGTTGCGAGAAGTGAGATGCAATCTGATTGGCCAGATATTTTTTGTCGAATGGGGGAGCAGGGAACAACAACAATATGTTGATTGCAATTTGGGACTCTCGAAGCAAACCCTGGTTGCTCCCAGCGGTTTGCCGTGTCAACGAAAACCCCAAGGGTCTAGCGCGAAACTGGGCGAAAGCAAACAGCCCAACTCCCAACAAGTCAACTTCTTCTCTCGCCACCCAAAGGTCAACCTTTCTAAGGTTGAACAATTTGGGCCGTGAGCTTTAAGCTCCAAACAAGAATCTAAATTGGCCTGTTTGGCCTGTTTGTCCATGAGTGGTGTGTATGTCAGGTGGCAGGTGTGCCATCCTCATACTCCTGGCAGCCGTCATTCACCCCCATGAGCAGCCCCCACCGCAGCAGCTCATCTAGATCCTTCACACTGGTGTTGCTCGCACCAAAAGAGAGAAGTGGGGGAAGGCGGAAGGGGGGAAGGGGAGTGTGTGAGGGGGAGGAAGCTCGTGAGGAAAGCGGGGAAGGGAGAAGGGGGAGGAAGCTTGTAAGCCATTGCGCGGGAAATACCCCGGCAATGAGGAGACAAGGGCCGGAGAGAAGCTGTGAAGCAAACAGGCGCTGAGGTGAGAGCAGTGAGTGTCTCCTTTCAAGTGCCTGAAAAAACAATCCACTCACGTCTTTCGAGGTGCCTAAAAAATCGTTCCACTCACGCGATCGGTCTGATGCGAGGATGAAGTGTCTCCTCCTCGCTTCCTCCTCCACTCTCGCTCCACTGCGCGTGGTACAGCTGCCACCTGGCGAGCTCTGGTTGGCTGGCTGCGAGGGTGAGGGCGGTTAGATCTGAGTCGATGTAATGCATTGTGTTAGCTGTATCCTGGGCTAGAGGCCTGCTGTTCACCTGCGTGGGTGGCATCATGAGATGGAATGGAAGAAAACATCATGATTAGAGAGTGGCTGGATTCGATTCGATGTAATGCATTGTGTTGGCTGTGTCCTGTGCTAGAGGCCTGCTGTTCACCCGCGTGGGTGGCATCATGAGATGGAATGGAAGAAAACATCATGCTTAGAGAGTGGCTGGATTCGAATCGATGTAATGCATTGTGTTGGCTGTGTCCTGGGCTAGAGGCCTGCTGCTCACCTGCATGGGTAGCGTGGCGTGAGGAGGGATGTGGAATAATGTGTCATGGAATAGGCTGGGATGGAATGACATGGGATGACATGGCATAGAATGGCATGGGATGACATGGCATGGGATGACATGGCACGGGACCACGGGGCAACAAGTGCGGCGGGGACAAGGGAGACACTGAACACGCACAGCGAGAAGAGCAGCCAGTTTGCCCTCCCCTTCCCCTTCTCCAGCCACTGAGATGATCCGTGGCGAGTCCTCGGGAATATCCACTCCCGCATCGCGCTTCAGGAGCGCGCTGACGTCAGCAGGCGAGGGAGAGGAGGAGGAGGTGAGGACGTAGAAGGGCAGAGAGGTGGTTCGGAGCGCCTCGGCTGCTGGCTCGAGGAGACCGTCGGAGGAGGGCTTTAAGAGCGTGCCTTGGAAGGCGATGACGAACGCGTCGATCGCTGCGCGGATGGCGCCAGATGCTCGTCTGTTGGGGAATAGAGAGGACAAGGACGAGGACGGGGGTGAGTTACATTCTGATGAGGATAATGGATGACGAAGTTGAAAATTTTAGGCGCCTCAAAAATCGCGGATGGCTCCTGATGCTCGTGACGAGGACGAGAGTGAGTCACATTCTGATGAGGATAATGGATGGCGAAGCTGGAACAAACGTGGTTGATGAGGCGAGTACAGGCAACGCGGCACGTCAACTTGCCTTTTTGGGGAGTTTCGCCTTGCAGCGGCAGGAGGAGGATGGCAGGAGATTCGAGTCGCGCCGCCTTGCAAGCACGCCGAGTTGTGGAAACCTAGCAACTGGGAGGATCTCGTCCCGTCTCCCCGCTCAGATGGCTCATGACGAGGATAAATAGTCGCGCTATTGCAATGGTTGCGACTGCGGCTGTGAGAAGTGCGCGCCGAGCCTGTGACGTGCAGGGAGGTGGGGAGGGAGGGCGGGGCTGCACAGGCGAGCATTTTGCGAATTCGGTTAGGAGACGCGGGAAGATGGCCGCTGCGGCTTGGAGTGAAAAACAAAAGGGCGGAAATCCCAAGTGGAATGGTCTGGATTCTGGAAATAGCGGATGCGAACAACCAGGGAATGAAATTGGGGCGGAATGGGGGAGAGATTGCACTGATCCGCATTTGTGAGTCGCACAATAAGGAGAGAGGTATTATTGATACAGTGAAGGAGGCCGAAATCCGTTTTCTATACGTATCAACTCCATCTCGTGAGACTCACTTGTGCGATTTCAGAACTGCCCATCCACAATCAAACATCTGCGAAGTTCCCAGTGTGCTTCTAAACCGGAATGGTAGGAGAAGCAGACGGGAGTTGCAGTCGTAAGTGCGTTTCAAGCGAACACTCTGTGAACAATGAGAGCTTCACCTCACACAAGCTGTGCTGTGTGTGATGAACACGCTGTCTGGAAGTAGCGCGTGAAGCTCAGCATATCGTACGAACGACAGACGAACAACAACCTCCGCTCATCCAAAGCGCAACGAAACCCTTCACATTCTCGCCCACGCCTGCGCATCAGCCAACGTTCTGCCAGGAATTTTGACGGACTAAAAAAACCAACCACGTACTGCCAGGAATCGTGACGGACTCAATAATATAACCACGTTCTGCCTGGAATTACTCACGATGGTAGGCAAGCCCGCACGCTTGCGTTCGGGCCGCACTCTAACGGGAGGCGAAGGCGACAGTATCAGGAATGACAACGGCGACGCGAGCGGCGAGCAGGGCGGCATGATGCCGGGCGAGCTGGTGGAGTCAATCGAGACCTTCATCCGCCACCACGCGGATCTCGCCGACGACTCCGTCACCGCCTTGGCTAACGGTCAGTTAGTCAGTTAGTCCTGGGTAACGGTCCGTTGGTGCTTGCTGTCAATGCTGGGATTACGGTCCTTGAGGCACCTGGAATGTCCATCGAGTCGTTCATCCGCCACCACGCCGACGACTCCGTCACTGCATTGACTAACGGTCCGTCAGTGCTGGCTGACGGTCAGTTAGCGCTGGGAACCAATCACTTAGTGCTGGGTAACAGGCAGCATAAGTCGGTCTGATGTTCCAATCAAGCGCTCAAATTGATTCTGCAGCGTCTTGACGCCTGGACTGAACATTCCTTTCCCCGTTACGCCTTCCCCTTTTCCCCTGTTCTACCTTTCCCTTTTTCCTCCAACAGTGGCCTATTTCCTGTTCGCCATGTCAGAGCTCACCCACCATCCGCTTGCTCCACACATTCCCAGGTGAGGTGCCTCCTTCTTCATTCATTCATTCATTCATTCATTCATTCATTCATTCATTCATTCATTCATTCATTCATTCATTCATTCATCCATCCATCCATCCATCCATCCATCCATCCATCCATCCATCCATCCATCCATCCATCCATCCATCCATCCATCCATCCATCCATCCATCCATCCATCCATCCATCCATCCATCCATCCATCCATCCATCCATCCATCCATCCATCCATCCATCCATCCATCCATCCATCCATCCATCCATCCATCCATCCATCCATCCATCCATCCATCCATCCATCCATCCATCCATCCATCCATCCATCCATCCATCCATCCATCCATCCATCCATCCATCCATCCATCCATCCATCCATCCATCCATCCATCCATCCATCCATCCATCCATCCATCCATTCATTCATTCATTCATTCATTCATTCATTCATTCATTCATTCATTCATTCATTCATTCATTCATTCATTCATTCATTCATTCATTCATCAATCACTCATTCAATCATTCATTCATTCATTCATTCATTCATTCATTCATTCATTCATTCATTCATTCATTCATTCATTCATTCATTCATTCACTCATTCACTCATTCACTCACTCACTCAGTCAGTCAGTCAGTCAGTCAGTCAGTCAGTCAGTCAGTCAGTCAGTCAGTCAGTCAGTCAGCCAGTCAGTCAGTCAGTCAGTCAGTCAGTCAGTCATTCCTTCATTCATTCATCCATCCATTCATTCATTCATTCATTCATTCATTCATTCATTCATTCATTCATTCATTCATTCATTCATTCATTCATTCATTCATTCATTCATTCATTCATTCATTCATTCATTCATTCATTCATTCATTCACTCACTCCATGATTCCGTGGATTTTAATAATCTGATGATCACGCTTTCCTTGAATGCCTTATAGCTGAATGGTGTGAAAGTCTCCCTTTTATAGGGGCATTGTTGCTCCAGTCTGGATGGCTTTCAGACGATTCTCTCTCAAGTATGTTGCTCCCAGGTGAATTGCTTGCATTGCCCAGGTGATGCGAAGCTGACTCAGTTCAATTTGTAACGAGTAGGTTATTATCTTCCCGCCAGGTGTCTACGGCAGCACATGGTTCAGGTGGTGAAAAGCCGAGTAACAGGTCACCTTGTAACGAGTATGTGTTCATGTGCCTGCCAGGGGTCTGCGGCAGCGCATGGCTCAGGTGGTGCGCAGCTCCAAGGAGGGGCTGCTGGTGTGGCGCGCTGCCTCGCTGCTCGCGCTCACTGAGGCCTCTGTTGGCAACGAGGTGAGGGGAAGGGGGTGGGGGGAGAGGGGTGGGGGAGAGGGGTGGGGGGAGAGGGGTGGGATTGTGGGGGAAGAGGGGTAAGTGCAGCTCCAAGGAGGGGCTGCTGGTGTGGCGCGCTGCCTCCCTGCTCGCCCTCACTGAGGCTGCTGGGGGGAACGAGGTGAGGGGCGAGGGGTGGGGGGAGTGAGATGGGGGGTGAGGAGGAGTGGTGGGAGAGGTGTGAGAGGAGGGGTGAGGGGAGAAGGGTGGGGAGAGAGAGGTGAGGGGAGTGAGATGAGGTGCAAGAAGTGACGGGAATGGAGTGAGGGGAAAAAGCTAAGATGAGCGAGATGAGCATGAGGGAGTGGAAAAATGTGTAACTTTGTTACATGCAAATGTGCATCACCATGGTGTCTCATCCACTTGTCTCATCCCCATCGGCCTGACTCTTGCGGGAATGGCATGGGATTGCATGTGATGGCATGGCACGGGGCATGGCATGGGGCATGGCATGGGGCATGGCATGGCACGGCACGTCATAATGACAGGCATGGCTGCCCAACATCGGCTATGACTCGCCCACACCATCCCACAAACACATGGTGCGCCAACTCCCCTCTTCGTTCTCAAGTCAGTTTCCGACTTTTGAGCTTCCACTGAAGCCCTTTCGTCCGAAAAGGGGAAGTACGGACATGAGATTTCCAGATTCAGGTTTTTTTTGCAGCTCATTATCCTTTCCAGTAACGCGTGTCTCATGCTGTGTCCCTGTGCGCATTCTATTATAGCGTCCCTGAACATGCAGTGTGTCGCTCATGCATCCTCGTTTCCTCTTTTCTTGAGCTTGCAGAGCCTTGCAGGTCTCTTCTCTGCTGCAGCCAAGGCGGTGACAGCCATGCAGCAAGGCAGTGGCGATGCAGACGATGCTGACGTGGATGCTGACGTGGATGCTGACGTCGAGGCTGACGTGGATGCTGAGGTCAAGGTTGACGTAGACGCTGACAGGGGTGGGGAGAAGAAGAGAGAGGAGGTGGTAAAAGTGGAGGGGGGCACAAGGGAAATTATGCAAGTGGAGGGCGAAGGGAAGGAAGAGGAAGTTGCCAGGAAGGATCAGCTCGTGAGCGAAGGGAGGACTGAGGAGGGTGAGAAGGAAGGGGGTGGGAGAGAAGGGGAAGAGGAGGAAGGTGTGGAGGACGTGAGGGTTTCAAGAGGAGCGGGTAGAGGAAAGGGAAAAAAGTGGCGGGGGAGGGGGGGGAAGGCAGGTGCAGGAGGGCGGGGGAAGCGGGCTGCAGAGGGGGTGACGGGGGGTGAGGAGAGGGCGGGTGGGGATGTGGATGATGAGGGAGTGCGTGAAGTGGAGATGGTGGGGGGAGAGGGTGATGTGCTGGAGGTTAGTGGGAGTGAGATTGAGGAGGTGAAGGGGAGTGTGGTGGTGGAGAGTGGTGTGGTAGAGTGTAGTGCTTTGGAAGTGGAAGAAAGTGAGGACGTCAAAGAGTGTGGGGAGGTGAAAGAGAGTGAGGAAGTGGAAGGGGATGAGGAGGTGGAGGAGTGTGTGGAAGTGAAGGAGAGTGAGGGAGGGAAAGAGAGTGAGGAAGGAGTGGAAGAGGTGAAGGACCTTACAGTGGAGGATCCAAGTGGTAATCAGCATGCTGCAGAGCGCTCAGGGGAGGTACAGCTGGTGAAGGTGGTACCTGGAGTAGGCAGCAGCGTACAGCCAGTCAACACCAGAGTGCTGAGGTCACACAGCAATAAGGAGTTGTCGAGTGCGGTTGAAAGAGGTGCTGGAGAGTCACACAGGGGAGCAGCAGCGGGTGGAACGGAGAGAGATGGAGGGGTGGGGAAGAAAGCAGGGAGAGTGGAAGATGCGGAGCAGGAGGAAGCTGCAGCTGACGAGGCCATGTGCCAGGTAAGCCATCCCGTGTGGCGTATCAGTGAAGTAAGCAACGTCTAACGTGTAATGTCAATGTGGTGGAGATGATAGATATGAGTACTGGCTCCGAAAGCATCTTTTGTGGGGGAAGTATTTCGATCGAGTGGCTTTTGAGAAGTCTCTAATGTGCCGTTTGCTGCCCCTCGTCATCCCTGCCTTTACCCCCACCATCCCCAGTCGCTCGCATCGTGCCGTTTGCTGCTGCTAATCATAGACGCTCTTCTGAGGGACTTCCACCACCGCCGCCACACGCTGCTCACTACTTGTGAGTGAGCGCATTTCTTCCTTTACTGAGCTGCCCTAAATTTCCGCCACTCACTCACTGCTGCTGCTAATCATGGACGCTCTTCTCAGGGACTTCCACCACCGCCGCCACACACTGCTCATCACCCGTGAGCTGCCTTTCCCCTTGTTGACTTTTGATTCGACTCAAAAGTCAACTTCCACCACCGCCGCTATGCTGCTCATCACTCGTGAGTTGCCTCTCCCTTTTTGAACCGCCCTAACGTCGTCCGCCCTAGCAGTTCACCGCCACTGTCACTTGCTGCTGCTCATGTCCCGTCTCCTCTCATGTCCCGTCTCCTCTCATGTCCCGTCTCCTCTCATGTCCCGTCTCCTCTCATGTCCCGTCTCCTCTCATGTCCCGTCTCCTCTCAACATCCCTCGCCCCGCCACACCCTCACAATGGGGTGACATGAGATGAGACCGACCCGCAAAGCTCCAATCTCAAATGTTTACATCATCGAAGCTCCAGTCACGCGCGACCATCAGCTGCTGAAGCTCCATCATCGATGCGTGCCCCCACTCTCCTTTGGCGAACCAAGCTGCGAACCTCGACACGTACCTCTTCCTTTCCTCTTTTCTTCCTCTCTTTCTTCCTACTGTATCACACAAGAACCCCCCTTCTCCCCCTTTCCGCACCCCTTTCTGCTTCCCTCATTCACCCCCTTCCTTTCCTAATTGCTTATCTTATATGTGTTGCCATCCCTTGTGATTGAAGAAGGGTTTTGAGACGTCTCAAAACCCTTCTTCAATCACCCCCGTCCTTTCCTAATTGCTTATCTTATATGTGTTGCCATTCCTTGCAATTGCAGCATCTCTTTCCAAGAATCGTCGCGTGGAGTCGATGAAGTCAACGCTGCTCTTCCGATTCCTCCAGGCAAGTCAATCAAGTCAAGTCAGATAGGGGCACTGTGGGATACCCCATACTGTACGTGCGCATGGTAGTCTTGGTTCTCAGTCACGCCTTGGCCTGTTCCCAGGTGACTTTTGAGTAACTCAACAAAAATCAGGGCAGTGTGTGTTACTCAAAAGTCACCTGGGAGCAATGTTATTCCTAAGGAGTGTGTGTTAGTTCTGTTGCTTATACTGCCCCGCGCCTGTTCCCCCTCCGTCTCGCCGTCCTGGTTCTCCTTACCCTGCCGTGCACATGCCAGGGCCAGGGTCCCCAAGGGCTGAGCTGTGGGAGGGCGTGGTGGTCCTCACTCACGCTCTTGCCTCTCCCCCTCCATCCCCCTTTGACGTTGCCTTACCCTGCTGTGCTCATGCCAGGGCCAGGGGCCTCTAGGGCTGGAGCAGCTGTGGGAGAGCGTGATGGCTCAAGGGTCACTCACGCTCTTGCCTCTTCCCCTCCAGCCCCCTTTGACATTCTCTTACCCTGCCGTGCACATGCCAGGGCCAGGGGCCTCTAGGCCTGGAGCAGCTGTGGGAGAGCGTGGTGGTGCTCACTCTTTTTGAGTCGACTAAAAAATGAGCGTGGTGGCCCTCACTCACGCTCTTGCCTGTCCCCCTCCATCCCCCTTTGACATTCTCTTACCCTGATTTGCACATGCCAGGGCCAGGGGCCTCTAGGCCTGGAGCAGCTGTGGGAGAGCGTGGTGGCTCTTGTGTTTGCATGTGCTGGGGAGGAGGAGGAAGAGGAGGAAGTGGACGAGGAGGAAGAGGAAGAGGAGGAAGTGGAAGAGGGGGAAGAGGAAAAGGATAGCGAGAAGTCAGGCCTGGAGAGTAAGGGAGGGGCGGAGGACAAGGGGGAAGAAAAACATGAGGGGGAGGAGGTTGAAGGGGAGGACGATGACGAGCAAGGGAGAAGGAGAAAGCGTGCTAGGAAAGGAGAGGAGGGCGACAGGGAGGAGGAGCAGCGTGAGAAGGAAAAGGAAGGAGTGAAGGACGAATTGGGTGGTGAAGCGACGGGAGAGAAGTGTCAAAGGGGAGAAGCGGAGGGGAAGGAGGGACAGGAGGGAGTGCAGGCAGCAGTGCAGGGAGAGGTGGAGAAGGAGGTGAAGCGTGAGTGTGTGCGGAGGGCACATGCATGTGTCGCTCCCAATCGCCTGGAGCTGGCTCGAGCAGCTCAGCTGCTGCTTGGTGCTGTGAGTGTCAGAGTGGTGCTGTGAGTCTGAGAGTGTTGCTACTTTCTGGAATTTAACTCTTTAGACTGTGTGAATTGCCCAAATGATGCTGCTTAGTCCCGCTCCTGTACCCTGTGCGAGTATCTGCTGGTGTGATTTCCGTCTCGTAACCACCCCTTTGATTTGTGGCATTGTGTGAGCAGACGTTGGATCTGCATGGTATCATAGCGGACAACGATGGGTACCGCAGAGCCAGGAATGAGAAGTGAGCCCCCTGCGTGTTAAAACACTCCACCCCACTGCGAGCCCTCACCCCACTGCGAGCCCTCACCCCACTGCGAGCCCTCACCCCACTGCGAGCCCTCACCCCACCCCACTGCGAGCCCTCACCCCACTGCGAGCCCTCACCCCACTGCGAGCCCTCACCCCACTGCGAGCCCTCACCCCACTGCGAGCCCTCACCCCACTGCGAGCCCTCACCCCACTGCGAGCCCTCACCCCACTGCGAGCCCTCACCCCACTGCGAGCCCTCACCCCACTGCGAGCCCTCACCCCACTGCGAGCCCTCACCCCACTGCGAGCCCTCACCCCACTGCGAGCCCTCACCCCACTGCGAGCCCTCACCCCACTGCGAGCCCTCACCCCACTGCGAGCCCTCACCCCACAGCGAGCCCTCACCCCACTGCGAGCCCTCACCCCACTGCGAGCCCTCACCCCACTGCGAGCCCTCACCCCACTGCGAGCCCTCACCCCACTGCGAGCCCTCACCCCACTGCGAGCCCTCACCCACTGTGAGCCCTCCACTGCGAGCCCTCACCCCACTGCGAGCCCTCACCCCACTGCGAGCCCTCACCCCACTGCGAGCCCTCACCCCACTGCGAGCCCTCACCCCACTGCGAGCCCTCACCCCACTGCGAGCCCTCACCCCACTGCGAGCCCTCACCCCACTGCGAGCCCTCACCCCACTGCGAGCCCTCACCCCACTGCGAGCCCTCACCCCACTGCGAGCCCTCACCCCACTGCGAGCCCTCACCCCACTGCGAGCCCTCACCCCACTGCGAGCCCTCACCCCACTGCGAGCCCTCACCCCACTGCGAGCCCTCACCCCACTGCGAGCCCTCACCCCACTGCGAGCCCTCACCCCACTGCGAGCCCTCACCCCACTGCGAGCCCTCACCCCACTGCGAGCCCTCACCCCACTGCGAGCCCTCACCCCACTGCGAGCCCTCACCCCACTGCGAGCCCTCACCCCACTGCGAGCCCTCACCCCACTGCGAGCCCTCACCCCACTGCGAGCCCTCACCCCACTGCGAGCCCTCACCCCACTGCGAGCCCTCACCCCACTGCGAGCCCTCACCCCACTGCGAGCCCTCACCCCACTGCGAGCCCTCACCCCACTGCGAGCCCTCACCCCACTGCGAGCCCTCACCCCACTGCGAGCCCTCACCCCACTGCGAGCCCTCACCCCACTGCGAGCCCTCACCCCACTGCGAGCCCTCACCCCACTGCGAGCCCTCACCCCACTGCGAGCCCTCACCCCACTGTGTGCCCTCACCCCACTGTGTGCCCTCACCCCTGTGAGCACCTCTGCCGACTCAATCGGTGCTCTCCCTTGTTTGCTCCACCACCTGCGTGCACGGCATCTCACCTCCTCCCTCCTCCCGCATGGTTGCATGCATGGCATCTCGCATGGTTCCATGCATGGCATCTCGCATGGTTGCATGCATGGCATCTCGCATGGTTGCATGCATGGCATCTCGCATGGTTGCATGCATGGCATCTCGCATGGTTGCATGCATGGCATCTCGCATGGTTGCATGCATGGCATCTCGCATGGTTGCATGCATGGCATCTCGCATGGTTGCATGCATGGCATCTCGCATGGTTGCATGCATGGCATCTCGCATGGTTGCATGCATGGCATCTCGCAGGGAGGCACTGGAGGATCGACTGGTGAGGCTCTTCGCGTTGGAGCCCAGCGTTGCCAAGAAGAGCTTCTTCCTGCAGGTGGGGAGGGTGCATGTGCACTGATATGTCATGGCATGTTGATGCTCATTCGAAGCACACAACCCTTGAAATTCCAACTGTTATGATCTGCTTCATCACAGCATGTTGGCATCTGTTTCATCATTACATTTTGTCATCAACCTCATCCATCCTGACGCCTCCACATAATCGTGGTGGTTGCTGCTGTGCTGCATGTGCCACCCCATGCGTTGCCCGCCCCATGCCTTCACCCATCCGACCATGGTGGATCCATGTCACAAGTATCATCTCATCGTTCTCCTCTTTGAGTCGACTCAAAAAGTCACTTTGCTGTGCTACATGTGCCTTGCTGCCGTGCTGTGCCGCTCCATGCCATTACCCATCAGACCATGGTGGATCCGTGCCACAAGTATCATCTCATCATTCTCCTCTTCTCTCGCTTCGGCCCTGTTGTGAGTCCTTAAGGTGTAATGCCAGGTGTATGTATCCCCATCAAGCACAACCCCGTTAGATGTTTCATGAACACCATCAGGTGTAACGCACCATTTGTGACTCCTCTGAATACACCAACATGTTCCTGCTATTTTGGGCCATTGAATTAACTCTCCCAATCCTGGATATTAATTATACTCTAGCCCTGTGCCCTGCACTCACTGCCACTACTGCACCCACCGCCACCCAACCTCACCCACCGCCACCCACTGCACCCTCTACCACCCACCGCCCACCCATCGCCACACACGAGCAGAAGCTGAGGGCGGCACTGGCAGCAGACCCCAGAGGGGTGGGGGTGGGCAGGACAAGCCTGGCTGCGCTCCTGCAGCACCTGGGGTGCAGCAACGTGGCTCAGCTCTCCAAAGGCTCGCAGATCAAACGAGACCTGCTGGCCGTGCTGCTGTGCCATGCCTGCCAGGTGCGTGCTGCTGTGCCATGCCTGCCAGGTGCGTGCCTGCCAGCCAGTCTCTGAAGAAGATTCAGTATCTGCTTTGCGTCACATGCTCTCTCGAGCATCCGCAACCCCATATACCCACACCACACATTCATGTACATCTCTGTTCATGCACATGCCATAGGGCTCACGGACTGCTGCCTTTCTGCGCTGCTCCTCCATCATCACACGTCCACATCTTGCCATCACAATCTCAGCCTCCTCATCTCAACCTTTACGCTGCCTGCCAGCCACACCCATTCCGCTTTCCGCAGTAAGCATTCATACGGTACATTTGTCTCCACGCAACACGGATATGCGTTGCTGTTTCCCAGGCGTACTTTGACATCAACCCCAACGCTATATTTGAGTCGCTGCAAGCACAGAAGCCAACTGCAGGGGGGAAGAGGCCGAGCAGGAAGAAGGCTGCACAAGTACCGGTAGCGGAGGAGACCGCACTACAAGAGGCAGCATCAGCAGCACCGATGTCCATATGCGACATGATAGCTGATGCATCATGCGCATGTCCCTTCACGTAAGTTTCTGTTCCTTTGTTACCCCTTTTCAGCTGTTGAGATCTGCATATTGAGGGTTAGGGGTGAAATGTTGACATCTTCAATGTTCTTGCAGGGGTGAAATGTCAACATTGGGACAACGCTGCCTCACTGCTCTTGATACATTCACGAAGAGCTTACAATAACTGCTGTACAAGCCCTGTGGCAACTCTATATTCACTTGTAACAGTTTTATCGCAAACACTGAAGATTGGCACTGGTGTATATAACTCCTCTCCAATGACTGGAGGTGTCCAGGCAATGGCAGCTCCATTGCTGGTTTCAGCATTCACATGACGATGCCTTGGTGGCCCGTGCAGCATTCACATCAATTGTGTCTGGCAAGTAGCTGTCAGCACATCACAGGGGGTGGAGGAAATAAAGAAGAGGGCCAGACGGGAAGGAACATTGGAAAGACCAATGGATGGTCACCTGCAAATCTTTGCAAAACAGGGCAAGAGCAGCTGAAGTTCGCTTGCTAGTGATCAAGAAAACCTGGGCAACAACACAAGATCGCAAGACCACAAAACGGACACGCGGGCACTCACAAGTCCTCCTCGGTTTCATTCTTGAGCGCGTTTCTAGCGATGCACTGGAAGGCGGCCTCCACGTTGTAGTCCTCCTTGGCGGACGTTTCGAAGTAGGGGATGTTGCCCTTGGCTGCGCACCACGCCTTCACCTTCTTCTCCGATACCTGCACGCCACGCACGCGCCAGGCACAACAGAGACACGAGGAGACACGCGACAGGCACGAGCGTACAAAGGGAGTGTATGAGGAAGAGAAGGTATTTTATGGGGCATGTGAGGGCGCTAAAGCAGGACAGGGAATATCTATTGAATGCGGAGATTTGAAAATAGAGGAGCTGCGCAAGCGAGCGTATGCTTACCACGCGGCTGTTGCCACCGTCCACGTCGATCTTGTTGCCGAGCACCACGAACGGGAACAGATCTCGCTCTGCTGGATTGGCCTGTCCACGTCGCGGGAGGACAAGACACACGAGGGTCGCGTCAGCTCTGCCGTAAATTTAAACAGCTTTTCTTGTTAATCATGTTGATTTCGATTCCCGATCATGTCCGTACATTCTAAGACGGTTCAACGGCACACACCTGTGATAAGACACCACGGTGCGCACCTGTAATGAGTGACCACGGCACGCACCTGTATCAAGAACTCCTCCCGCCAGTTGTCGAGGTTCTCAAACGACTTCATCACGTTCACGTCGTACACCAGCACGCAGCAGTCCGCTCCCCGGTAAAACGCCACTCCCAGGCTCTGAAACCGCTCCTGCCCGGCTGTATCCCAGATCTGGATCGAAACGAAAAACTGTTATGATCTCATGATAAAAAGAAACTCCCAGATCACGAAGGCTGACTACCGGTAGCCGACAACACATCTGACCGCTCCTTCCGCTCCTTTCCCCCTCCAATCTGCAAAACTACAGCGCTGAGGAAAAAGCTAGGATGTACCTGCATGGTTACAAGCTTGTCGTCTACTTGGACCTCCTTCGTTAGAAAATCGGCTCCAATGGTTGCTTTATATTGTGCGCTGAACTTCTTATTCACGTATCTACAAGGAACAAAGCAGGGGGCATGGTCAGAGGACGAGCAGCTCCATAGCGAAACTAATCGACAAATATGCGACGATTTGAGCAACAGCGAAGCGCACTGACTGCTTACTGGTTCATGAGCGACGTCTTTCCGACGCTGCGCGTATTCAAGCGGGGGAAAAACACCATGGGGAGGAGTTAGAGGATTCTACGAACGCGAAACACGACGAGGAGCTGGAAGCTAGCAGGTAAATATAACAGCCTACGCACCCGCTATCCCCGAGAATGATGACCTTCAGCAAAGTACGCCTCCTGGCAGACATTTTGGCGCGTTCAACAGTGAACTTTTTGAACTCCAACGGCTTTAGTCCAAGACGAAATCTATTAGGACACCGTGGCAGTGCTAGAAAGCAACTAGTCACGGGGGTCGTGATTCGTGCAGTCCAGGTTAGTTCACGGCTTGGGTGAAAGGAACCTAGAATGGCGGAGAGTGAAACGTTTGGATGACTTGACAACCATACTAGATGCTCATAACAGGGCAGGCGGGAAGATTGCTTGAAACGACCATCCAATATAAGAACGTGCCAGAATCGGGGAGCGTTAGTGAAAGTTTGGTAGAATGTAGGTTTATATAAGAGCTTGAAGAATTCCTGAAGTGTAGGAAACACGATTCTGTAACGCGGATAATGCAACCATTAGGGAGCAGCCACTTCACCCTGTCGCAAATTCACTGTAAGTGCTGCTGACCTGTGTCGGTCAGCCGCCAATCGCGTCGCTGCGACGCGGCCCAGCACCTTCGCGATGCCGAATGTGGTAACCATGGAGACAGATGGGTGTGTCAGCGCCAGTGTCGTGCCATTCGCGCCGCGTCAATTGTCACGGCGCAGCGCAACTGAGCTTCTGAAATCCGCGATGACGGGGGGAGACCATGTGGGGGTGATTGTGAGTGAATGTCGAGACGGACAAATTCCCCGTCAACCCTTTCCTTCGCACGACCGCCTTAGTCTGACCATGGCCCACACTAGATATCTCTACAACCAATCACCACCCATACCCACCCATCCGGCACTTTGGTTCCTCTCGTTTCCCGCCCGCCCTGCCTTGGCTCAAGTTGTGACATGACATTCAGCTGCGGCCATTGAGCTATTTTATGAGCTTGAAGGCCTGTTACATAGTAGATAGAGCATTGAGCGAGCGAGGGAGAGCGTGAGCCGTCTAATATCTTCCGGCAGCTTGAAAGCTCGACACCGAGCACAAGGCTGGATCCCTAGCATCTCAGGCTCAAGCAGTAGACCCCATTGCCCATCGCAGGCTCTTACTATGCTTGGTTCTAGTCATTAACTATACTTCAACGTTCGTTTCGTCCATTACCCGCCTGAACGGCTCGCCTCTCCCGCCCTCTAGCCGCGATGGCGATCAGAGCCACCTCCTCAATCCGTCGAGCCTCCCTTCTCCTCCTCCTCCTCGCCGCCTCCTGCGGCGCTCCGCGCTTCACCTCCGCAAGCCAGCTGGGCGACGGCTATTGGTTCGCAGTGGGAAGCCAGATTCTGGACGAGGCGGGCCGCGTGGTGCAATTCTCGGGGGTCAACTGGAACGGATTCGACGCCGCGAATTGCGTCGCAGACGGACTATGGGCGCGCGGGCTCAGCGACTACCTGGACCAGATGGTGTCGCTCGGGTTCAATGTTATTCGCCTCAACTTCGCCACATCGTGCATTTCGCCGTCAATTCGCCCGACTGACGGGTCCATCGACTACAAGAAAAACCCGGAACTCGAGGTAGATTAAGATCCGAACAAACCAGGCAGATTATAGGCAAAGTCAAGTCAGGGTCTAGTCAGAAAGCTGAGCTATGCCTCAATGGCGCATCGTAACAAATGACGCTAAATCGCGATCGCGACCTGCTGGCTGAATCTCCCCAGGCATCTTCCGCCGCATCTCCGCCGCGTTGTTGTCGTCGGCGGCCGGCAGGCAGCATCCCTCCTGCTAAGCGTAAATTGGCGCCGCTTGTTGCCACGTTCCCCGCTTTACGCTTTCCGCTTTCCTCCCTCCGCCACCCGCTTACAGCCCACCCTCTTTTCCCCTTTCTTTCGCGCTTTTCCCCCCGCCGTTCCGCGCAGGGTCTATCGACTCTCGAGGTGATGGATGCGGTCATTGCGGGCGCGAAGCTCCGCGGAATCCGCGTGATCCTCAGCAACTCGCGCGTCAGCCCAGCGCTTCCGCCCGACTACGCCGCGGACGCGGGGCTGTGGTTCGATCTGGGGAACCCGGAGCGCGTGTGGCTCGACAACTGGAACCTGCTCGCGTCGCGCTACTACGGCGAGCGCACCGTGGTCGGCGTTGACCTGTTCAACGAGCCGCACCGCGACCCGTCGCATCCGGACGTCACGTGGGAGGCGGACGGCGTGAACGAGCCGTACAACTGGCGCACGGCCGCTAAGAGGTGCGCTTGCAACGGCCCCTCCTATTTATTTTCTTTGCGTGCTTTGAGCAATGTTTCTGGGAGAACGCAGAGCGCAGAGCGCAATATCTTGTCTCTTCGCCTCGTCTCTTTTGTCATTTTTTCGCAAAACCGCGCATATGGCGCGGCGGTGAACCCCAATTAGCTCATCTCCGTTCCTCATGTAGCAAATGTTACCACTCCCTTCCCTCACTTCTCCTTTTCGCAGAGCCGCGGACGTGGTGCAAGCCGTCAACCCCGACCTGCTCATCTTCGTGCAAGGCCTGGACGGAGACGACTGCTGGTGGGGATCGAACCTGCGACCTGTCTATTTCTACCCGCTCAAGCTCAACATCCCCTACAAGCTCGTCTACTCCATTCACGACTATGGCCCCATGGTCAAAGACGGCCAGCCATGGCTGTACGATCCCGCGTTTCCCGCGAATCTGGAGGGCTATTGGGACGAGCTGTGGGGGTACGTGTCGGACCAGGGCATCGCGCCGGTGTGGGTGGGCGAGTGGGGTAGCGTGCTGCCCGTTGACGGCACGGACCAGCTGAGCCAACGCGAGATGAAGTGGGTCGCCGCGCTAAGGAACTACATCAGGTGAGGCTATAACGGGGATGGATTTGAGGGGGATGGGGAAACGAGGGTCTCAAAGGACACGGGCGGTGCGCTGCACACTCTTCCAGGCCCCTTGCCTTAAATCTCCCTGCCTCCCCTCCCCACCACCCCCGGCCCTCCCTCTGTCCCTCTACTTTTCCCGCCTACCAGGAAGAAGCAGCTGTCATGGACGTGGTTCACGTGGGGCCCCAACTCCAAGGACACGGGCGGCGTGCTGCACGACGACTGGGACACGGTGGAGCAGGGCAAAATGGAGGTCATGGCGCGGGTCATGCACCCCGCCTTCGGCCCCGCCATTGGTGACCGCCCGCCCGTGCCGCCCCGCCACGGGCTGCTGCTGGTGTACGCGCCGGAAAACGCCTCTGGGATCAGCATGCCTGTTGCTGGTGAGTGGGCGGAAAGGGGGGTTGGGTGGGGGTGATGGGGGCAGGAGGTGGGGGTGAACGGCGGAGCAGGGCAAGCTGAAGGTCCAATGTGAAGTCCAATCAAACCCCATTTAGAGGTCACGCAGGTCATGCACCCGCGCTTCGCCCCCTCCATTGGTGGCCGTCCCCGCGTGCCAACCTGCCGCGGGTTGCTACTGGTGTAATCGCCGGAGAATGCCTCTGGAATCAACACGCCTGTTGCTGGTGAGTGTGGGGAGAGTGGGGGAGAGTGGGTGGAGGAGCGGGGAGATGGGGGTGTGCGGCTATGATGGATTTGACGCCAGATCCAGTTTTTTTCAAGCGTCAAAACGTGGTGTTTTGACGTTTGACGCGTCGAAGCGTCAAAACGCTTGACGCTTTGGCCATTTTTTTCTGGGCAGCCCAAAATCGAAAAAAAAAGCGTCTAATGTAAGCCTGGCGTCTCTATATGCGAGAAGGCCCCGGATGAGGTGTTCGAAGCGATCAGAGACCTGTGCGAGGCCACGGGGCCGGCTAAGGTGGATAAGAGGAGTGCGGAGACGGAAGCCATTGCTGCAGTTAGTAGTGCACCAGGGAAGAACTCCTGCCCACCCCCCCACCTTCCCCCCTCCCCCTCCCCCCAACCTCACTTACTAGCCCCCCTGCCCTGGATATTTCGTTTGCCTTCCTGCCAGAGAGTCAAACTGGGGGGTACCCCTCGGACAGGGGCCGTCAAGAGGATCAAAACGCCGGCGTTTTGACTCAGAGTCAAAACGATGAGGGCGTCAAATCCATCATAGGTGTGTTGGTCTGCAAAGGAATGACCGCCATGCCATGTCTGTGAATGTGTCGGAGAACACCGCTGGGATGAGCAGCACACTCCCTTTTGCCCCCACTTGCTCTCTTGTCCTTTCTCTCTTCTCCCCTTTTTCTTTCCCTCTTGGTCTTCATCTCCTCCTTCCTAAATCCTTTGCTCTTCCCAATGCTTTTGTCTTGGTGATGTCTCTCTGTGTGTGCAGCACCCAAGCAGCGGCCAGGGTCAGACTCATACTTCAAAGCAAGCACTCCTTCAGCCAGGGCCTCGTGGTTTCTGCTTGCAATCGCAGCGAGTGCATGGTTGCTACAACTAGCCCTTGCCGCTTGACGCTGCTCGGGAACTTTCTTTTCATAGTGTTTTTCTGACTTCTGTAGGGACCATGTGTGTTGTATGGTAACTCTTAGGCTAGCTTCTACATGGCATATACCAACTACAATAGGAGCGCCAAACTGCTTTGGTTAATAAAACCCTTGGCATCTGTTTCCAAGGTACCCTGCTTTGGTGGATAAAGCTTTCTACACTCTCCCCTTGAATGGTCGAGTCTTTCAAAGCATACAAAACTGTTGAGAGTGAAATGTTCAATATAATTGTGCTGCCATCACTGGCTGGCTACATAAGTTTTGACTTCCATTACGTAAAGCCTGACGCTAAACCCTGAAAATGGCGTGAAAAATATGCAATGAATATCATAAATGGAATTAATGTGAGCCCACTAGCAATGCAAGAGAATAACTCTTGGACCTTGGGGTTCGCAATACTGCAATAGTTGTAAGGTTTTTGGTGGACCTTGGGGTTTTATTGTAAAAGATATTTGTTTAGCGAGAATGGATTCAACAAAATGCAGTGTCGCTGCACTGGTCATCAGTTTGCTGGACGAAAACCAGGCCGTCGCAGCACTGTCGCGAACGTGTCGCCTCGGTTCAAATGGAACCTGAGCCGTTACAGTACGGGAAAATTCACTTCTCACCTTTGTCACCTATGTTTCCTTCCACCGATTTTTGTCGTGGGCAGTGTGGTTCGGTGAGCGGCATCGAAGAATCTTTTCCTGCGATTTTCCACTCTAGCAGTGCCCCTTGGTTTTCCGCTACTCAACAGTTTTACGTACAATCCCGCCCGCCCTTCTGCTTTTGGAGTCAGCTGCTGCGCTGGTGCCAGCGGCAGTTGGGAACTTGGGACAATCCACTCACCGTTCGCCTGCCCGTCCCCTTCCTCTCCCTGACTCCCTCGCTTTTTCATCTCCACTTCCACAACCTTCGCGCGGGGCGGGTGGTTTTGCGGCGTGGGCTCGCCTTCGCTCCGCCTCGCCTTGGGGTTCGTTTTTTGCTCCCTTTAGCTGCCAGCAGTGGGCAAAACGTGGCGATGCATTCCTCCTTCGCTCTGTCTGCATGACTGTCAAAACCACACCTTCATCCACGCATCTGTTGACCCATCGGTATTCCCGGTGCCGCCTCTGCCAGCTTGTTTCACAGTGGGTACAGGTTGAGGATCAGGTTCGATCACCCTCGGGACCTCCTTTTGCCACGAGGTTGGGCGCGTCTCAATAGGGTTTAGAAATATGCAGCAACGTTGTAGTGCGGTGGCTAGTCAAAACGAAACATCGTCCCTCGAGATTGCCAACTTCACAGGTTTTTGCCGTGATCCGTTCGGTTACCTATCCAGATGCCTCTACCCTCAGTCCTCCCGTCTGCTATGTACAGTAATGACAGCACGGCCTATCATTTCTGTTTTGATACCAGCATACCGATCCCTTTCAGTCCTAGCCTCCTAGACGACCCCTGAAGGCATGTCCTGCTAATATTGTGGTGTTATCTGTCGGTTCCCAGGACATGCCAAACGAGCTCCCAACCATTAGGCAGTCGCATAGTTGCGAGAGTGGCGTAAGTGACGAAGTAGGCGACAGCCATTGGGACAATGGAATTCATTCGCCGGTGAGAGTCACAATGACGAGGCGAGAGCGAGCTCTGCAGATGTGCGGTGTGCTTAGCGCGAACCGATTCTGCAGAATGGGATTCCCAGAACGAGACGCAGATGCGGGGGAAGATGACGAGGAAGCGCAAAGAGTGGCGAGTTCAGGCGCGGCGATAAAAGCGAAGAAGGTCGTGACGAAGAATAAAGCGAAAGCGGAGGGAGCGGAGAAGGAAGCGGGGGAGGAAGCGGGGGAAGGAGCGGAGGAGGATGACGCGCTGCTGACGAAGCCGCCGTCGAAACGGCAGCAGTTGATGCAGCACTTACAATCCCCCGTTTTTATCACCCGGCTAGTTATGATGGTACGTTATCGTACGGCTAACAGCAGTGACTGTACGTAGATCGTACGGCCAGCGAGGGCCAGTCGGCACAGACCAGCTCACAGCTTGCTTACTTCACAAACTGATACTAGAAGCAGAGCGACGATTCTCATTAGTAAACGTTTTGACCATCCTCCCAGCAATAACATGTTCTTAGGGGTTTGACCTTAAACGCTAACGAGCGTTCATACTTGTGCCTTCGTTTTAGCGTTCGGACGAACTGAAGCTTGCGAGCACGGAGCTGCGTTGTACAGCGCATAATGACTTCGCAAAGTGGTTCGCGAGGATTCGAGAAGGAGCCTAGTTTCTGGTTAGCTCAAAACTGGAGGAGGTGCGCGCAAGTACAGGGATCTGAGTTTACTGCTCGTACATTCTCCCTTGGATCCTTGGTTTCAAATCCTGTCGTAGACCCGTTTCTGCACCTTTTTTTTTTTTTGGTATGAAGTTTCGTCGTCCGAACCCTAACGGCTCCATATTTTTTAAAATATTCATGTTTCCGCTTCTAGAACGTCGTAGATTTCGATGATCCTGTCGGTTTAGACTTGGTTCATCATTCCGAATCTCCTGTCGCCAATGATGGTGTGCGTCCGTCCTGTAGCGTTCGTAAGCTCGCTGGTCCGATTGAGGTTTGTCCGTTCGGCCTTTCAGTCAGTGATGGCATTTCTGGAAATAGTGGCGGTGGTGCTCATACTTGAGAATTTGTCGATGATTGGACTGGCAGGCGTTTCTGGTGATTGTGGTGGTGGTTCTCACAGTCGGCACGTGGTTCGCCGCCAGAACTGCCTACAGCCAATCGCTCGACGCCGTCGCCCTTCAGTACGTTCCCCCGTTCCCACTCCCGTCCCCTTGACCTTCCCGCTTCCCCGCTCTCTATCCCCTGCTCCCGTTCCCCGCAACGCAATCACCGCGTGCGACAATTTGCGCCGCAATTGACCATAACCGGACTTGAAGACTGACTGTACGATCGTCGTTCCATTCTCTGCGGCTCATGAACTACTCGAAACGACCAATAAAGAGCCGCTTTGCTCAATCGCGTGTCTCATCCCCCCATCTCCCCACGCTCCCTGAAAAAAACTTCCGCAACCAGAATATCCGGTCCCGCCCAGCGCTTTCCATCATTGTAGGGTATACCCAAGTTTTAGCTTCTTCAACTAGGCACGCATGGGTTTCCGTTCCTACCTTCCACGCTCCCTCCGCAGGCTGCGTGAGAAGACCCTAGTGGGCGTGCAGGAGCAGTTCCTGCTGTAGATAAACCACCAGCGCGATGTATAGAGGATGCTTATAACGCATGTTTTCTTTGCCCACCCCGACACCCCCCCCCCCTCTCTTCCCCCCGGCAGGCTGCGCGAGAAGACACTAGTGGGCGTGCAGGAGCAGTTTCTGCTGTACATAAACCGCGACCGCGACGTGCTCGTGTCGCTCTCCTCTGTGCTCGAAACCACCTTCCAACAGCTGCGCACGTGGAACCTAACCCTTAACGATAACCTCAGACTGGTGCGTGGGCGAAGTGATGGTAGACGGTGGTAGGCGGTGGTGGACGGTGGTGGGCGGTGGAAGCCGGTATCAGGTTCATCCACATACACGTTCACATGCGCTTCCAATCATGCAAACACGCGTATGCCAGCACGGTTACATGCATGTGCCATTACGGCAGATCCATATGTATCACTGTACATGCATATCCCACTATAATTTTTTGCATATGCCATCACGGGCACATGCATATGCCATGCCATCACAAGCATATTCATGTGCCGTCACTCCTGTGTATCTAAATTTACATGACTAATCCGTTCTCTTAAGTTCTCTTATCATTGCACCACGGGTCCACATTGGGACACGTTAACACCCTACCAATCACCATCGCTGCACAGCAAATATTCAACCCTCCTCCTCGCCCGTCCGCCTCATCCCTCCCACCCGTTCCGCCACCATCCCCACCATTCCCTAATCCCATCCCCTCCCACCTTCCAGGTCCGTCCCCTACTCTGGTCGTTCTTCAAGAGCTCACTCCCACACATCACCACGCTCGGCTACTACAGCATGACAGGCCCTTTTGTAACATACGCACAGTACGACCTGGCTAAACAGTCCTTCGCCTCGCAGGACGGATCTCTCTCCATGGTCTATTCCAGAAACGTTCTCCCCAACTCCACCGCCCCCTGGTTCATCCTGCCCACAAACTCCTCCTCCGGGCTGCCCGCAAACAACACCCCGACGCCGTTCAAGCCACTGCCACTAGGATCCGTGGAGCTATACCAGCAGATTGAGCGCGGAGAGGAGAACCTCCTGTGGACGTTCAACGCGATTCAAGACCTGTCCGGCCCGATGCTTGTCGCCAGCTCGGCTGTGCACAGCCCGGGGGTGACTCCCCCTGCGGGCGTGCTCATTCTCGGGTCGTCCGTGGGCATAGTGAACCGGTTTCTCGTGCAGGACACGATAGAGGGGTGCGTGATGTACATCGGGAGCTCTGAGGGGTTCCTGGTGGCTACGTCAACAGGGGTAGCTACGTCCACTCCAACTGGGGAGGGGCGGCTGCAGCAGTTTGTGAATGCGACGGATGTGGAGGATGCGACGATTGCAGGCGTGGCGCGGTATTTGGAGCGCGAGTACGGGCTGCCGGCGCTGGTGGCGGGGAATTATAGTCTGAGCAATGTGGATGTGGTGGGGCGCGCGTGGTATGTCAGCAGCATGGGCTTCGCCGTTGATAACCTGAAGCTGGTGAGCTGATAAGCGAGGGGGGGGGATTGATACGTGAGGGGGGGGGATTGATACGTGAGGGGGGGGGAGGGAGCTGAGGCTGGTGAGCTGATAAGGTGAGGCTGGTTTGGAGGGAAGATGGGAAAGACTGTAGAGTGAGAGAAGAGAAAGGGGTGGCATTTTTGGTACGCTATGTGAATGGTTGGTGGTGACGTTAGAGTTGGGGTTGCAGGTTGGCACATGGGCTCTGCCAAGTAGGCAGATGGGCTCTGCCAGGTTGGCACATGGGCTCTGCCAAGTAGGCAAATGGGCTCTGCCAGGTTGGCACATGGGCTCTGCCAGGCTGGGTGGTATGTGCTGCCCTTGACCATCTCCATAGCAGCCCCCGAGTCTTCAACCGATGCCTGGGTGAGAACCCTCTGACCCTGACACACCACCTCGTTGATGGGTGGTGGGGGACTGTAGACCACGAGATGCAAGCAGTGCCCTTGTGTGTCCCCTCCCCACTCTGCCCAACCAATCTTAACCCACCAGTACCTGGCGATGATCCTCCCACGCACGTCTGCAATAGGGGTGATGGATCAGGAGATAGAGATGATGATTAGCTCCACCTCTTGCATGTCCCCAATTGTCCCAAACCCTCTCCACCCCTCTCCACCATTCTCTCCAACCCACCAGTATCTGGTGATCATCCTGCCACGCACGTCCATCATGGGAACGGTGGATCAGGAGATGGAGACAATGATCATCGTGACATCCTGCGTGGCGGTGGGGCTGCTGCTGCTGGGGTGGGTGGTGGTGATCTTCCTCACGCTCTACGTGGACACGCGCATGCGCCCCAAGGAGGAGCTGCAGCGCCAGAAGGAGGAGACGCAGCGAGCCCAGGCGGCCTCGGAGGTCAAGAGCCAGTTTCTTGCCAACATCTCCCACGACCTGCGGACTCCCATGGCCGGGTGAGTGAGTGAGTGAGGGGGTTGGTTGGGCCTCTCTCTCCTCTCGCTGCTCAACAACCTGTTGGACCTCGCCAAGGTGGAGGCGAACCACATGCAGCTGGAGGTCCTCTGGTGCTCTCTGCTCACCTTTGTGCTCACCTCCCTTGCAATCCCTCCCTGCCTGCCTCCATCCATCGCACCCACCCCAACCCCCACCCTCCCCCCCTTGCCTCTCTTCCGCAGCATCCTGGGCCTGCTGGACATAATGCTGTGTGACCATCTAACGGCCGAACAAGAAGCCAATCTGAGGCAGATGAAGTCGTGCTGCGCTTCCCTCCTTGGGCTGCTAAACAACCTGCTGGACCTGGCCAAGGTGGAGGCGGGCCGCATGCAGCTGGAGGTGCTGGAGTTTGACATTGTGGGCGAGCTCGAGTCGCTCGTCGACATGTTCAGCGTGCAGGGATTGAGCAATGGCACGGAGATTGCTCTCGATCTCTCGGATGATATTGAGCGGACGGTTAAAGGGGACCCTTCCAGAGTCCGACAGGTGAGAGCGGGCCCGAGGTGCCTGGAAGCAGGCTGGTGCTGTTGTGTGGTGTGTGGGCTGCGGGTGGAATGGTGGGTGCATGCATGCATGCGTGAGCGCATGCAGCTGGAGGTGTTGGAGTTTGACATTGTGGGCGAGCTCGAGTCGCTCGTCGACATGTTCAGCGTGCAGGGGCTCAGCAACGGGGTGGAATCGCTCTCGATCTCTCAGATGACATCGAGAGGACTGTGAAGGGAGACCCCTCAAAGGTGTGTTTTGAGTCGACTCAAAACACACCAGGACTGTGAAGGGAGACCCCTCAAAGGTCCGACAGGTGCGAGGGGGGCCGGGGAGGGCGGTGCTGGATTGGGGCGTCCGAAAGAAGGTTGGTGTTGTTTTGCTTGTCTGGCTTGTGGGCTGTGGTGGAACGGCGGGTGCGTGCGTACATGCGTGGGCGTGAGTGCATGCAGCTGGAGGTGCTGGAAAAGCAGGCATCTCGTTTTCTGTTCTTGATTGCCCTCCTCCCTTTTTCGTTCCCCTGCAACCTCCTCCTCCCCTCCTGCTCCCATGCTTGCCCCTCACAATGCACTAAGATGTTTCGCAACACTCACTTGCCCTCCTCCGCTCTCACTGCCACTCCCTATTCGCCCCTCTCCCTTGTTCCCCTCCTCTCCCTCTTCCCCTCGACTCCCTCGTCCCCCTTTCCCTCCTTTTCCCATCTGCCCCTCGTCTCCCTTGTCTCCCTCGTCTCCCTTGTCTCCCTTGTCTCCCTCGTCTCCCTTGTCTCCCTCGTCTCCCTTGTCTCCCTCGTCTCCCTTGTCTCCCTTTCCCTCTTTTCTCCCTCTGCCCTGCCCCTCAACTCCCTCGTCCCTCGTTGCCCTATCCTCTCCTGCCGCCCGCCAGGTGTTTGCGAATCTGCTGAGCAACGCGTGCAAGTTCACGCGGAACGGGCAGGTCATTGTGAGGGGGTGGATGAGACACAACCCGCCGCCCCACCTGCGCGACTCAGACCTGTCCATCCCAGGGGAGAAGAAGTGAGTGGGTGGGGGGGGAATGAGGGAGGGAGGGAGGGGGGCGTCTGTGTTTGGGACGCATTGGTGAGAGGGGAGGGGGAGCACAGGGGGGTAGGGGGAGCACAGGGGGGTAGGGGGAGCACAGGGGGGTAGGGGGAGCACAGGGGGGTAGGGGGAGCACAGGGGGTTAGGGGGAGCACAGGCGGGTAGGGGGAGCACAGGGGGGTAGGGGGAGCACAGGGGGGTAGGGGGAGCACAGGGGGGTAGGGGGAGCACAGGGGGGTAGGGGGAGCACAGGGGGTTAGGGGGAGCACAGGCGGGTAGGGGGAGCACAGGGGGGTAGGGGGAGCACCAAGGTTCAAAAATACGGTAAATGTAAATTACGGCTCGTAAATTACGGTCGTAATTTACGGTGGTTTTGGCAAAAATACGGTCGTTTTTTAATGGACTTTTTTGCGGCAATTTTTTTTTTTTTCCAGAAACTTCAAGAATGCTTACAACGATGACTAGGAAGGCAACAACAAACTACACTACAGAGAAACAAGCCTATAATGGACCGCTACACCACTACCATTGCTAAGCCTACCTAGTAGTACCTACCTTTAGGCTAGATCTGCTCCTACTCCCTCCCCACGCTACGCGAAAAAAACACACTCGCGTGGATTTGGGCGCACGAAATTTCTCACAAGCAGGGTGACGGTTGGGAAATGTCGAAATTCGCTAGACACAAACCCAGTTTCAAAATTTCGGTCGTAACTTACGACCGTATTTTTGAACCAACCTAATTTTGCAAGGTCGAACCGTTTTTTACCGTAATTTACGACCGTAAATTACGATACCGTAATTTACGGTAAATTTTCAAAAATACGGTCGTATTTTTGAACCTTGGGGAGCACAGGGGGGTAGGGGGAGCACAGGGGGGTAGGGGGAGCACAGGGGGTAGGGGGACTGGTGGGCGAATGGGAAGTGCTGGGATTGGGCAAGAAGGGGGAATGCATGGGGGGTTGGGTCGGGCAGGCAAGGGGGGGAAGGATAAGCAGTTTGGGATTGGGGAGAGTGGGAGGAAGGAGGTCGGGGGTCAGGGAGTAATAGTGAAGCGCAAATGGCCTGTAGCCTTCAGCCACCACCACCACCACTACCGACGCTGCAGGCAGTGCGGAAGGCGATGGGTCCCCCTCCTTCCTCACCCCCACTCTCCCCACCTTTCCGCCCCGCCCTCCCTCTCTCCTCCCTCCTTACTTCCCAGGCGCAGCGGCCACGGTCCCAGTGTGGACGCGGACGGCACGCCAGCTTCTGCCACCACCAGCGCTGCCACCGACGCTGCAGGCAGCACAGAGGGCGACACTGACACTTCAGCAGCAGCAGGCGCAGCATCAGCAGCAGGGGGAGCAGGAGGGGGCGCAGGGGCAGCAGGGGGGGCGGGTGGGGGGGGGAAGGAGGGGGGACGGGAGAGGCGGATGGTGACGTTTATGTTTGAGGTGGATGATTCGGGGCCGGGCATCCCCGCACACAAGAGGCAGCTCGTCTTTGAAAACTTCCAGCAGGCCGATGCTTCCACCAACCGCACCCATGGCGGCACGGGGCTCGGGCTGGGCATCGTCAAATCCCTGGTGCGTTCTGGCTTGGTGTAACTGTTTTAGGGTTTGGTTGGTTGGTAGTACACTGCACTCCCCCCTCACACACACCCTCGCTCGCTGCTTTGACTTGACAACGCGTCTTTTCAACCACTGCCTTTTCGTCCAGAAGAAGGAGAAAATGGACGAGCGCATAGCAGTGGTGGACAAGGAGGGCTGCCATGGCGGGGAGGGGGTTCACACATCATAGCACCTTTGAAAATCACTGACAACTGGAATTCTTTTTCCCCCACTCCCACTCCTCCCTCCCCTCTCCGCAGGTGCAACTCATGGGGGGGCACATAGCGGTGGTGGACAAGGAGGGGGCGGGGGCGCGGTTCCGGTTTGACCTGTGCTTTGAGGCGCTGGACCACAGCAGCGTGTGGAAGAACAGCATGCTGCAGCCTGAGTTCCTGCTGCCCAAGCTCACCACCGTCGAGGGCGGCCAAGTCCTCCTTGCCATGCGCGAGGAATCCGCCGGCGCTGCCATCGCCTGCGCGTGGCTGGAGCGGCGGAAGCTGCACGTGTGGCGGGCCACGCAGTGGGGCGATATCATGCCAGCTGTCTCGTCTATGCTGGTTCACAGAGCGTCGGATCGAGCGGGGTTACAGCCGAGGGTGTCGAGGTCTATGGTGGGGTTTTCCGCGCCGCTGGCTCGGTCATTTCAGCCCGGGGGGGTTGGGGCGAGCGGGAGGGGCGGTGCGGGGGCAGGAGCGGGGAGGGAAGGGGTGTTTAGTCCGATTCCGGAGCAGAATCAGAGCCAAGGTGTGTCGTTTAGGGACGGGGGAGGCTCGGCCAGCCCTGCTGCCGGTCCTGCTGGTCATCGCCCCACCACCCCGAGAGATCGTGTTCCTCCGAGCCAGCCCTATGCCTCAGGCTCGGTAAATAGTGGTGCCTCGGTAGCAAGTCCAGCCGCTGCCACAGGGAGCAGCGCAGGTCCGGGCCGAGCCATGTCTCCAGCGTCGTCGTTTTCCCGAAGCTCCTTCAACGAGCACGGTAGGGTAAATAGCCCCGGAATGGTCGGGGACGACGGCGCAGGTACCGCCGGCGGGAACAGCTTCGGATCCGCCAACTCCCGGCTCGTCCTCGCGATAATCGACGTTTCCCTCGTCCCGAACCTGTACCAGTTCATAGCAGAAGAGCTACATATCTTCAGGGCCAGGCTGCAGCACCAGGGGTTTGTGATCGCGTGGCTCGTGGAGCATAACACGTCCGCGGATACCAGGCGGTCGCTGAGAAGGTCCGGGTGTGCTGTGGCGTCCAAGCCTCTGTATGCGTCGCGCATGGCCCCGCTGCTCGCGCTGGCGACGGCGAGGAATGGCGTGGCGCACTCGAGCTCGAGTATTGACATGCCGCCGCTGCCCAGTACGGGCGTGGGGAAGAGGGATCCGGGCGGAGGTGGAGGGGGAGGCGGGGGGGGGGGGGTGGTGGGGGAGGCGCAGGGCCGCACTGGCATGGAGAGGACTCGGTGAGAGACGCTTCCTCCCTCCCCTGCTGGCCTGATCTTTTTTGTTTTTGTTTCTTTTTTTTTTTTTTTTTTTTTTTTTGTGCAGTTTTCGTTTTTGCCGAATGACAAACATAACCCACCCTCCCCTCCCCTCCCCTCCCCTTCCCTCCCCTCCCCTCCCCTCCCCTCCCCTCCCCTCCCCTCCCCTCCCCTCCCCTCCACTCCCCTCCTCTCCCGCCCCCTCCCCTCCCTTGTCCCCTCCTGCATTCCACAGAGCTGGTCGCTCCCCCCACCAGTGGAGGAGGAGGACGGGGCAGTGGACAAACAGGCGCCCGCCACGTCAGCAGCGGGATCCCGCAGAGCGCTGCCGTCCCCGGCGTCGCTGGCAGCAGCAGCGGGCGGCATGTCTCCATCTGCCAGACTCATGGCACGGGGGGGCGTGGGGGGAGGCGGGGGAAGAGAGGGGGGAACAGGCGGAGGGGGGGGAGGGGCAGGGGGAGCGGTGGGGTCACCAGGAGATACCGCGGCTGGTGGGACTGGGGAAGGGCCAGGGGCGGCAGGGGGCGTGGGAGGGGCGAGTGAGAGTCAGAGGGATGGTGGCAGTGGCAAGGGGTCAACACACAGAGTGGGCCGCGCTCGCTCTATGAAGGTGAGTGAGTGTGTGTGTGTGTGCGCGCGCGCGCGTGAGTGCGTGCGGTCGGGCGGACGCGCGGGTGGGCGGGCAGGTGAGCGGGCGCGTGCGTGCGTGCCTCCGTGTCTGTATGTGCGTGTGCGTGTGTGTGTGTGTGTGTGTGTGTGTGTGTGTGTGTGTGTGTGTGTGTGTGTGTGTGTGTGTGTGTCACGTCACTCCCTCACTCCTTTCCCCTTCCCCACTGGTCGTTTCCCTTTCGTGGTGTGCCATGGCAGCATTCACCGGGGGCAGTCGGGGAAGGCAACTTTGAGACTGCGCTGGCCAGCAAGCGGGTTCTAATTGCAGAGGATACAGCACTGTTGCGCAAGGTGAGTACGGCGGCCAGAGCGGGCAGTCAAAGATTCGTATGTATGCAGGGCTCTCTGGGGGTGCAGGGCTCCTTGGGAATGCGGCGTGCTCATTGCAGAGGACACAGCACTGTTGCGCAAGGTGAGTGCGACGGTGGGCAGGGGATGTGCAGATGCCCAGGGGAATAAGCAGATGAATGGGCAGGTTGAAGGCTGTCGCTTAGAGGCTGCTTAGGTAGACGGTTGAAGGGTCATGCGGGTCAAGCGGGTGCTCGTTGCGGAGGAAGCACACGCTGCTCCTCGCTGCTCCCTGCTGCTCCCTGTGCTACCCTCACCCCCCGCCTCCCCCTCCATCCCCCCCCTCTTCCCCAGGTGGCCATAATCCGGATGCAGAAGCTGGGGTGTGAGGTGGAGGCGGTGTGTGACAGGCAGCAAGCAGTGGACGCCATTCTGTCCACCTATGCTGCTAGAGACACTCAGGGAGACGCCTTCCTCCTCCCCCCCTCCCCACTCTACCCCACCAGGTGGCCATAATCCGAATGCAGAAGCTGGGGTGCGAGGTGGAGGCAGTGTGCGATACGTGACTGTCCCCTCCTCCTCGCCGCCCCCTGTTCTACACTCACCTCCCCCTCCCCCTCCTCCTCCCCCCTCTCCTCCCGCAGGTGGCCATAATCCGCATGCAGAAGCTGGGGTGCGAGGTGGAGGCAGTGTGTGACGGGCAGCAGGCAGTGGACGCCATTCTCGCCACCTACGCTGCCAGAGACACTCAGGGAGACGCCGCCATGCACTTCGATGCTGTTCTCATGGACTGCCAGGTGGGCCGGGGGGGTTGGTTGGGCGTATGGCTTATGATGGACTGCCAGGTGGGCTTGCCGGCATGAAAGCACTCTTTGGGGCTTTTGAGTTGACTCAGAGATCACTTTGGCTGGTTTGATGTCACGTGCTGCTGCTAGACACACTCAGGGAGACGCCGCCATGCACTTCGATGCTGTGCTCATGGACTGCCCGGTGGGCCTTGGGTTGGGCGCCGCTTTTGTGCGCATGGACTGCCAGATGGATAGGCTTGACTTTTGAGTCGACTCAGAGGTCACGTTGGTGTGATGTCACATGCTGCTGCGGGGTCACAGGGAGACGCGGCCACGCGATTCGATGCCGTGCTCATGGACTACCAGGTAGGCTTGATCGATGGCCCTCTCATGCTCATGGACGAGCGACGGGAACAAGTGCCTGGACGAGGGCGTGGATGCGTACTCACCGCTTCCCATCCCCCTCTCGCTTCTGACCCTCCCAACTTACGAACGACCCCCCTCTTCCCCGTTTCCTCACTGCATATGCCGGTGCTGGATGGTCACAGGGCGACAGCAGCCATCAGGGCAGCAGAGGCAGGCACACGGTTCCACACGCCCATAGTGGCGCTCACAGCGCACGCCATGACCAGCGACGACTCACAAGCAGGGCGCTCACATCCTCCCTTTCACCACTCCCATGCTTTTCCGTGTTCCCTCTTCCCCCTGCCCTCACTCCAGATGCCTGTGTTGGACGGGTACGGGGCCACGGCAGCTATAAGAGCAGCAGAGAGCGGAACGCGGTTCCACACACCCATAGTGGCGCTCACAGCCCACGCCATGACAAGCGACGAGAAGAAGTGTTTGGATGCGGGCATGGACGCGTACCTCACCAAGCCCATTGACCCGGCCCTCATGGCGCACACGCTTCTCTCTCTTATGACTCGCTACCCGCGCTGCTGCGTTCCTCACATTGAGAGCATTGCGGAGGGTGAGGAGGGGAGTGTAGCAGTTGACGTTGCAGGTACAGCTGACGCCTCTGCTGCTGGGGGAGGGGTAGGCGCATTTGGTTCTGCTCCGGGGGAGCGACCGGTGTCTCCTGTTGCGGCTCTTGTGGTGACCATGCAGCCGTGATCGAGTGTGCTGGGCTGCAAGCAAGTAAGCAAGCAGGTGTGTGGGGGAGAAGAGAAGAAGTGTTTGGATGTGGGCATGGACGCGTACCTCACCAAGCCCATCGACCCCGCCCTCAAGCTTCCATGAATGCACGTACCTTACCAAGTGGCAAGCACATCAGACCTGCTCGGCGCTCTCCTGGTGCAGATGCTATAGAGCAGACAGGTGTGGCCCAGGGAGTACCTGTGGTGCTGCTTGCAGCAGGATAGGATAGAGGGTGGAAATCCATCCAAGGTGCTCGTGCTGCTGCTGCCCCTTTCTAGCTGCCCTGCTCCTGCTGCCTCTTTCCTGCTGCCCTGCTCCTTCTGCCTGCTGCTTTTTCGCTGCTTCTGCTCTTTCCGCTGTTGCTTCCCCGCCCGCCAGAACCGCGGCTTAGCACGAGAAGGATTTGGTAGCAGCGAAGGGGGAGAAAGAGCTGAGCCATGACAAAGTTGGAGAGGAGTGTGGTGTGGCACGATGCCTTGTGTGGAAAGTAGCTCAGCAGCACAGCTGGCGAAGCAATACTGTTGGATGCACAACACTGTTGGCTCGGGAACAACACTGGGCCGGGAGCAGCACAAGAGCAGCACACGGGCAAGAGCAACAAAAGGGCAGCACAAGGGCAGCACAAGGGCAGGAAAAAGAAGAGGAAGTGATGTGGATGCGGCATTGGATTTGTTTGGTTGGCAGCAGCACAAGGGCAGGTTCGGCAGCAGCACAAGGGCAGGTTCGGCAGCAGCACAAGGGCAGGTTCGGCAGCAGCACAAGGGCAGGTTCGGCAGCAGCACAAGGGCAGGTTCGGCAGCAGCACAAGGGCAGGTTCGGCTGCAGCACAAGGGCAGGTTTCGGCAGCATCAGAAGGGTAGGTTCGGCAGCAGCAGAAGGGCAGGTTCGGCAGCAGCACAAGACAGGTTTGGCAGCAGCACAAGTCAGGTTTGGCAGGCAGAAGGGTAGGTTCGGCAGCAGCAGAAGGGCAGGTTCGACCGCAGCACAAGGCAGGTTCGGCAGCAGCACAAGGGCAGGTTCGACCGCAGCACAAGGCAGGTTCTGCAGCAGCACAAGGGCAGGTTTGGCAGCAGCAGAAGGGTAGGTTCGGCAGCAGCAGAAGGGTAGGTTCGGCCGCAGCACAAGGGCAGCGTCGGTAGCAGCACCCGCACGGGTCGGGAGTGTGCGATATTTCTCGGCAGGAACATGGGCGGTGGGCAGAAGGGATGGGGTGGCGCCATGAGAACAACCTGTGACACCATGGCCTCATGCAATGCCACACCATCCCATGCACACATATTTACTGACTAAAAAGCTTGCATTTACTGCCATCCTCCTGCACCGGCAACAGCAGTGAAGTGGTTGCCACCAAACAGCAGCATGGAATGGAAAGGCGGCAGCAGCCACTGCAAAAATGCATGCAAAGAGAACGGGAGAGAGTGAGGTCCAGGACTGGAAGGGAAATCTACAGCAAGGCTCAATGGTACAAGGGTTCTGCCATCATCCCCCCATGTTCCCAGCAATTCATTCCTTCATTCCGGCGATTTGCACAACGACCATTGTAACAACCATGCTTTCAAAAGGAGCCGCTTAGTTTGCACAACAGGTTTCCATCATAGATCAGAAGCTCCCATTCCTTGATTTTCTAACACAGGCGGATTGTCGGCCTGGTCCCGACAACGCTGTAGCATCGTTCATAACACTAACCTAATTTCCCCTGTGCTTCTTTAGCGTACTCCTTCAGAAGCAGACTAAGCTGCATCAGTGCATCCCCCACAATTCGAGCCACCGTTCACCATGTGCGTGAGAGCCACTCAATGCTGTTAATGAGATTTCTCTTACCGTGAAGTGTGACGCCGAGTTTGATGCTCCATAAGCCGAGTTTGCTGCGATATGTTCACTCGCGTTCACACGATGTTTTGGGTGTGAATCTAGCAATGGAATCTGACTGAAGAGGGGCAGGTGTATAGGAAAAATAAGTGCTTTCAGCATATGGCTGTGCAGTCATAGGGGCAGGTCTGTGTCTTGGATGAGAGACCTTTGGTCAGACCTCTAGTAAGCAATCCATCCTCCAGAGTGTATATGCAATTTCCAGATCTCATAAGCATTGTAAGGAAAATTCATTTTCCTTACTTCGCATCCCTGCTCAACGCGTACATCACTGTAGCACCACAGTCAGCACCGTTACCACTCGCAACCCTCGCATCGACAATCCTCCCGCCACCTTCGCACATCGCAACCCGACCTCACGGCTCGGCGGGTAACCCGCGCTCCGGGCCTCCGCTTCAACACTTTTCCCAACCTCAGTCCCAGGCCCATCACGCGGCAACCACAGTCCATTACCGTTACCACTGTAGTTTCGCTAAATATTCTTCGCTCATTCCTTCGCTCATTGTACTCTTGCTTCGATAGTACAATTCTCGTTCGTTCACTCAATTGCACTCGTAACACTTGGTATTCAGAGCCTACGATCTCTTCTCGGACCGCACCCACACCTTCGCTCCCCCACTATCTCAATTTATGGGGGCGGGGGTAGACGTCTCTCAGCGACACAGCACCGCCGCTCGTAGTGCTCTCTCGTAAGCACGCACGGCCACGACCGAGGCTCTCGCTGAGCTCGCCCGACACCCCCGCCATGGCCGAATTCACGCTCGCCACATTGACGCAGGAGCAGCTCGACCGTCTGGTACGCCAACTCGAAGATTCGACGCTCGAGATTGCGACGCTCACGGCGGAACGTGACTCCGCGCGTCAGCAATCAACGATGAACACTCCAGCGCCACCACACGCACCGACAAATGCATCTGCACCATCGGACGAGCCGATCGTCATCTCGTCCGGCACACCAACACAAAACAACAACGTGGGACAGCGCTCAGGCGCAGCCAGCGATGGCGCCGCCCAGCCGATGCCTGGCATGGGAGGAAACAGGGTCGCACCAAGCCTGCGGGAGCCTCGCGAAGCCCGTCGGCACGTGGAGTTCGAGGCGACAAGTGGCGAACATGTCATTATGGCACCAATGCCACTCAAGCCGCAACGCCCGCCCTGCTTCGACCCGAGCCAGCGTGGAGGTCAGACAGTTCAATCGTGGGTCTTCACGATGAACGTCTTCTTCGACGCGAATTACGTCGAACCGGACGCAGCGAAGATTCGGTATGCCGTTTCGCTGCTAAGGGGCCTCGCCATGGACTGGTGGCGAGTCATCGTGACGTCGCCACGCGCCTACGAGCCACCGTCGCAAGAGGAAGAGCCCACGGGTCCAGCTGTCACCTGGAGTTCATTCTGCGAGACCGCCCAATACAACACGTGGGATGCGTGGTGCGCAGGGCTTCGGGCGCGCTTCGAGCTGATCGCGGCTTCTATTTCGGCGCGTCAGAGATTGCGCACTTTGCGGCAGCTCGGATCGGTTCAAGACTATACGAGTGGTTTTCTCGCATTATGCGAGCAAGTCGGCTACATGCACGAAGCCGAGCGGGTGGACCGTTACGTCGGAGGGCTGAAGCCGGACATCTCACACGAAATCATGCTATGCGGGCTCTCGAACTTCAACGGGATTCTCGCGCTTGCCGAGAAAATCAACATTTTACGCCGTCCGAGACCAGGGTCCTACTATGGACATTGTCCTCGGGGACCGATCGAGCACGCCACTGTACACGCTGTTGCGACAAATGCAGCTGCCGCGCCGTTTAAGGGGCGCTGCTTTGCTTGCAATAGGCCGGGCTATCGCAAGAGCGAATGCCCAGAGGAGCTAAGGCGCCGCGGAGCAGAGCAGGGGAGGGAGTCTCCAAGGCAGGGAAACGCCAGCAGTTCGTAGGAATCGGGCCAACTACTGACGAGACTGCCTGCTCGCCCAACCCCACCGACCCTCACCGAGTCACAGTACCGATTCATGCTATTGATCGGACTCGAACGAATAAGGAGGGTACAGCGACGGATTGCCCAGTACTGATCCACGGGAAAATACAGGGAGCAGCAGTGAAGATTTTTATCGACGGAGGAGCAAGCCACAGTTTAGTTAATACCGCAACCGCACGAAAACTGCAACTGACACTTAGCCGTTGCTTACTGGAGATAGACGCACGCTTAGTCGACGGCACGCCACTGGCCATACGGGAAAAGGTAGAGAGAGTCAAAGTCCGTTGCGGGGGGAATTTCGGGTTTACACAGGAAATGCTCGCAACGACACTGGATGGGCATGATATTTTACTGGGACGTGATTGGCTGCGACGGTATAACCCGCGAATTGACTGGACAACGGGTAGCTGCACCGTGCGAAGTAGCGGTAACTGGGTCGAGCTACCTCGCTGGCAGTCGCCCGAGTCTTCAACGGTACACGTCAACGCCGTCACAATGAAACGGGCTGTCAATGCTGGAGCTGACGTGTACGTAGTAAACATCGCAGTAGTAGAGGGAGCAGAGCAGCCGAGTGATTTCAGGAAACTGCTGGCAGCAGTACCGCCCGAACTACAGGAACTGTTGAAACGATACCCCGGGATTTTCCCCGACGACTTACCGAAAGGACTGCCACCTCAGCGAGCACATGACCACCGAGTTGAATTAGAACCGGGGGCACAGCCAACTGTACAGCGCTAGTTCAGACCGACACAGCCCGAGCTCGACGAACTAAGGAAGCAGTTAGATTACCTGTTAGAGAAAAATTCATACGACCGAGCTCGTCACCGTTTGCCGCACCGATACTGTTCACATTGAAAAAAGACGGGGGTTTTCGCATGTGTATCGACTACAGAGCACTGAACAGGGTAACAGTCAAGTCGCGGTACCCCATTCACCGCGCCGACGAACTGATCGACCAACTGCGAACAGCACGGGTTTTTTCGAAGATAGATTTACGGGGAGGTTACCATCAGGTTAGGGTCGAACCATCGGACTGCGCCAAAACAGCTTTCAGGACTAGGTACCGGTCGTTCGAGTGCACGGTGATGCCATTTGGGCTGACCAACGCACCGGCGACTTTTCAGATGACCATGAACGAGGCA